TCAACTCTCGACTTGCTGGAGTCGTTCTCGTTCATTTAAAAAACTTATAATGGTGTCTATGAGCCATTCATTATTTTCCACTTGCTACATGTTGAATCAGTATATGCCTTTCTTTTTCCTTTTTAAGTAAGCGATTACATAATCGTAAATTGACCACTTCGTCGCAAAAGAGAAATGAAAAATGGCACTTCCAAGGTTAAATGGATAGGATGATGCATGCATGCATGCAGTCTTCCAAATTTTAAACGAATAACCAAAATTGAGCCAAAGTCAACTCTCAACTTGCTGGAGTTGTTCTCGTTCATTTAAAAAACTTATAATGGTGTCTATGAGCCATTCATTATTTTCCACTTTCTACATGTTGAATCAGTGTATGTCTTTCTTTTTCTTTTTTAGGTAAGCGATTACATAATCATAAATTGACCACTTCATCGCAAAAGAGAAATGAAAAATGCCTCTTCTAAGGTTAAATGGATAGGATGATGCATGCATGCAGTCTTCCAAATTAAAATTTTTTTTTTCTCTTTTTTTAGGTCTCAATCTCCATGGACCATGATTGCATATTTGCTATGAGTATTTTAATAACTGCAGCGTGCATCAGTGCAGTGTCACGGACTCACGGTTGTAGGAATGTGACATTTCTCTTTTGTATTTGGTTTTGATAAAAAATAGATTTTGACGTAGTGAAACTTGTAGAAAAGAACAAGAATCGCACTTGAAGGCTCAAACTTGTTGATTCCCTCACAAATTAGAAGAAAGAGAGGAAATCGGGATAAAATTTTTCAATGAATTTTATTTCATCAAAAAATATGGATGTCATTAAGGCTTAACATCCTTATTTAAATAAGATATTGATAATTATGAAAATCTAGATAATGACAAAAGTTAAAAACCTTAATCTCCAAAATCAATCCGCAACAAATGGAATTGAATTTCAAATTTGTTTAACAACAAAATTACCAAGAAGAGGAAACAACGTTTTCGAAATCCTAAACGATGGAATTTAGTCGGAAATGATCGTTCATCCGGCCCTTTTCACTCAAAATTGACCCGAACTTCTCCAATAATGAACATTCCGAAAAATTATTTCTTCTTAAGCCGACCCCACTTTTTTATGAAATCTTCATCTTTCTATATCACATCAGATTTTTAGTAAATTTCGATAAAATTTGATTAAATATGTTGCTAAAAAATTGATTAAAGTTGTGGGCATGGGCGGACTTAGGGGGGTCCTGGGGGGCAAGTGCCCCTCCCCCCAACTTTTGAATTTTTTTTTTTATAAAATCGTGTTTGGTATCGATTGAAATCTAAATTTTAATCTAAATCAAAGTTAACAGTTAATTTTAATAACATATTTCATGAAATCCATAACTGTTTACTTTTATTAAAATTTACTAAAAATTTGATTTTAATCTCTACCAAATAGAGGCAAAATCACAATAAATTTGAATTTCAATAACATGCTAATTTTAAAAATTCTCTGGCGATCGTACGCTAATCGAATCTATAAATTACTTATGTCATCTCAAAACTTATTTCGAGACTACATTATGGGCATATCGAATAGTCTAAACATATATCGAAAATAGTTAAAAATACGTTAAACGTAAGTCTTAAAAAATGACGTCTAACTCGCATTTTTTTTTTTAAATTCAATTATTTCATTAACATTTATTATTTTTGCGATACAAATTTCTCAATATAATTTTCATCATTTTATTAGAAAATTTTATATGAAATATGACATCAAATTTTTTTGAAATCTTATATCCGAAAAAGTCATAACCCATGTAAATTTTCGGAAGTAAAATTACACGTGGTATGATTTTTTTGGACGTAAATTTTCGATTGTAAAATTTCTCCAAACTTCTTTGCAAGTTCGATTGTGCCCCATAACTTTTAAGGTTTGTGTCCGCTCCTGGTCGTGAGTCTCATTAAATGTGTGGTTAAAATGAGGTTGAGAAAAAATAAATTTTAAGAAATGAGAGACAAACATGAACTTATTAAATAAAAGAAATAATTATAATGTTCTTATTAAAATAATTAAAATTATTGTCTCGATAATTAAAAATAGAAAAACTCTTTGTTACGCTTAGGCTCGTATGACTTGAGATTTGACATTATCTTCTTGTCACACCTTATGCCTTTCAGAATTTTGATACATCTCTCTTTTGTTTAGCATCAATTCTAAATTAAAATGAAAGAAGAATGTAACCATCAATTTAAATCTTTGTGTCACGTATTTCAGTAATCAACCTAAGGGTGTATGCTTCTCTAAAGACTTGACATGGTTTCTTCTTACACATGGGAGCCATTCAATTTCGCATTATTATTAAATCAGTGATGGTAATTTTGATAGTGCCAAATAATAATATATTCAATAATTGAACTTCTGATTCAATACAATATTTGCCATTTGAATAAATATTCAATCAAACAAAAGATATAGTTAAATCTCGAAAATATAATTAGCCATAATGCAATCATATAAGAATCAATATTCACGTGACATGAATTATATGTTTTCCTTCAGGGATAAACATTAATTATTAATGGAATATACACGACATTCTTCAAAAATATTAATGGAATTGTAAATTGAGTTTTTTCATGAAAACACAGATAAAAATAAATTTTATTCAAGAATATAATATGAAAAAATATTATAATTTTTCAATAGTAATAATACAATATTATTTTAAATATTGTGTATGTGAATTTGTGTTTCTTTAGGAGCAACAAAATAATATAAATATTATATTCATTTTCAAGCAATGCTACATTAATATTCTTCTTGAATATTGATTTGGATTGTTTTTCTTAAGAACAATAATACAATATTCTACTGGAATGTTGAATGAAAAAAATTACATTCATGTAAATATTTATTTATCATAAGTTGTCATAGTCAAATTGGTATAATCAGATCGAATAATTATACATCTTTGTTATACAATTTAAAGTTAAGATAATACTAACCCTTTTATGAACACATTAAAAGAGCATTGCTTGTAAACTCAATTGGTTAGAACTTCTTGTCTTTCTTTTATTGAAGGGATTTTTTTTTACCTCAACTGACTAGAAATATATTTTCCTAACTCAATTGATTAGACCTTCTTGCTGATTATGTTTTATAAAATAGAGAGAAGATAGAGAAGAAAGCAGAGAAATCAATTAACTTGTGGGTATTATATTGATAACCAAATCCACATAGGGAAAAATTAGGGATATAATGGTAATAAAAGCTAGGGTTGTAGGAGTATAATTGCCATTCTCTAATAAGCATATTATTTACAACAAAAATATACTTTATTTTGAGAAAATAAATATATATGTTAGAGAGTCCAAGGCTGGACGGCCATGCAGTAGACCTGTGGTCACAATTGGAAGTTGCATTAGATGGGTTTCCCGTTTAGGAAGAATTCATAAATGAGGTGTTTAGTTTACACCAATTTAAAAATCATGTTTATAGTTTGAAAATTCAAAAATCAGGTTTTTTTTAAATACAATACAATATAATAAACCCACCCCATATACACCATCCCTACCGCTCCGGCGACTATTCCGACGACCATTTCGGCGACTATTCCGACGACCATTTCGGTCACATATTTATAATTTAATTAGTCACATATTATTTTTCAGTCACAAATAATAATTTTTATAAGTCACAGATTATTTTATGGTCACAGTNACTGAAATAAAATGTGACCTATAAAACCAAATAGTTGGTCATGTACACCAAAAACCCAACCCCCGGTCCCGATCTACCAATAGTTGGTCACATGCACCAACCGACACGACCACTAGAAATCATCACAGCCACCAGGACCTCACCAAAATCGCAACCAGATCCGCCACAGCCACCAGTACATCTACCTGAACAACCAACAAAAATACCTAAAACCCCCAACAACACCAAAACACCACCAATACCAGAACCGTACCCAACCACCACAACACCACCACCAACACTGCACACAACACCATGCCCAACCGCCACACCACCGTCGACCGCCGCCACCACCATCATCTACCCACCAAACACCATCATCGATCTGAAAAGAGTCCCCAACTCCAGCAAGACCAGACCACCACAGAACTCACACACACAATCGGCTTCCACATACAGAAATCACACAAATCGGCTTCGCCCAGCGCCACCCGACGACGTCGCAAGTCACTATTGAGAGCGCAGACATCGATGCTCACGGCAAAGAGGCGAGCGACGCTGTGATGATTTCGCAGCAGCCGTTGAGCCCGATGCTCACGCCGTTGAGTCGCCGCTCACAGCGAAGAGGCAAGCGACGCTGTGATGATTTTCGCAGCAGCCGTTGAAACCGATGCTCACGCCGTTGAGTCGCCGCTCACAGCAAAGAGGCAAGCGACGCTGTGATGGTTTCGCAGCAGTCATTGAGCCCGATGCTCACACCGTTGAGTTGCCATTGAGATCGATGATGTGATGATTTCGCAGCAGCCGCGACACCCAGATTTCACAGTAGCCGGCGTCGGTAGAGAGAAGGAGGGTAGAGAGAAATAGAGTAGAGAGAGAGAAAATGGAGAGAAGAAGGGGAGACGAAAATGAATTAGGGCATGAAAATGGAACATGTAGATTAATTAATTTTTATATGTATTAATAAATTAATAAAATATCCAATTAATACCTGATTTTTTATTAAATAAACTTCATACCTGATTTTTGAATTTGAAAGTTTAAGTACATGTTTTTATGTAATTTCCTCTTCCCGTTTCCCAGTTCAATTCGAACCTTTCGGAGCCTCTTTTTTGTAAACGGACCGGACCATAAAAAATGGGATCTGTGCCAGGCCGGCCCGCTAAGAATTGGGCGGCGAAAACCAACTTACAGACCATGTTGTAACAATAGCAACCTTAAATCTTCTTATCTGTTTATAGAAAACAGTACCGCACAGATATCCAAATTTCCACACAAACTCGCAGAGAGACACGCAGAGGAAGAGAAAGAGAGGGAGGGAGACGCAATGGAAGGAACCCTTTTTCCAAACAGACCAGCATTTCCAATCCAATCAACAAAACCAACATCACAATCACCGAACCATCAGCGCTTGAAATTCAACACTTGTACTCTCCCTCTTCCTCCTTTACTACAGCAACAAACCCCTTCTTTCCCTCTTGATTCCCTTCTCCAACACCTTCTTCACATCTCCTCTCCCATTAAATCATCCTTGAATTCCTCTGCTGTTATTTCTCCACACAATCAAGATTTGCTGAAAACCAATTCAATTGCAATCCCAAGACTTGGTGAAAACTGCGTGCAAGATGATGGTTCGCTTGATTTTTTGCCATTGAAGTGTAAGTTCATGCTCAAATCGATTTTAGAGCAGCCCAATTCTAGTTTGCCTGCGTTCTTTGATTCTGTCAAGTTTGATTTGCTTCAAGAGGTTGATTTGATTAGTCTCTTGAAAGGTCTAGACCTTTCGGGGAACTGGGAAAAGGCTATTTTGCTATGTGAATGGGTTGTTTTAAATTTGGATATATCGGGTAATGATAAATTAGATAATCAGGTTATTGAATTGATAGTCAAGATTCTTGGTAGGAAGGCTCAGTATCTGACTACTTCAAAACTGTTTGATGTAATTCACTTTGAGGATTACAATCTTGATGTTCGAGCTTGGACTACTATTTTACACTCGTATTCACGTACTGCAAAGTTCGACAAGGCCATAAAATTGTTTAATTTTATAAAGGAAAAGGGATTGTCTCCAACTTTGGTTACTTACAATGTGATGTTGGACGTTTATGGGAAAATGGGGCGGTCTTGGGACAAGATTCTAGAGCTTCTGGATGAGATGAGGAGTATGGGGCTAGAATTTGATGAGTTCACTTGTAGTACTGTGATTTCTGCTTGTGGAAGAGAAGGTTTGTTAGAGGAAGCAAATAACTTTTTTAATGGGCTGAAGGCTAAGGGGTATGTCCCTGGAACGGTTACATACAACTCTTTGCTTCAAGTGTTTGGGAAAGCAGGGATTTACAATGAGGCTTTGAGTGTTCTGAAAGAAATGGAGGAGATCAATTGCCCTCCTGACTCAGTAACTTACAATGAGCTTGTGTCTGCATATATAAGGGCAGGTTTTCTTGAGGAAGGAGCAGCATTGATTGGCACAATGACGCAGAAGGGTATTATGCCAAATGCTGTTACTTATACCACTCTGATTGATGCCTATGGCAAAGCGGGGAAGGAGAACAAGGCTTTAAGTTTGTTTAAGCTGATGAAGCAATCAGGTTGTGTTCCTAACGTGTGTACTTACAATGCTATTCTTGGGATGCTGGGGAAGAAGTCACGCATTGAAGATATGATGGAAATTGTTTGCGACATGAAACTCAATGGGTGTGTGCCAAATCGTGTTACTTGGAACACCATGCTTACTATGTGTGGCAACAAAGGAATGCACAAATATGTCAATCGAGTGTTCCATGAAATGAAGAATTGTGGGTTTGAGCCTGATCGAGACACGTTTAATACTTTGATAAGTGCATATGGTAGGTGTGGCTCCGAAATTGATGCTGCAAAGATGTATGATGAGATGATCAAAGCTGGTTATACTCCATGCGTTACAACCTACAACGCCCTTCTGAATGCTCTGGCTCATAGAGGGGATTGGAGAGGCACAGAATCTGTCATTTTGGACATGAGAAATAAGGGTTTCAAGCCAAATGAGACCTCGTACTCCTTGATGCTCCATGGTTACTCAAAGGGTGGAAATGTAAGAGGCATTGAAAAGATTGCACACAAAATCTATAATGGCCATATATATCCTAGTTGGATGCTTTTGAGAACTCTTATTCTTGCAAATTTCAAGTGTAAATCACTTGCAGGTATGGAGAGAGCATTTCAGGAGTTCCTGAAGCATGGTTACAGACCGGATCTTGTGGTGTTCAATTCCATGCTTTCCATTTTTGCAAGAAATAGAATGTATGAACGTGCCCCGGAAATTCTGCATTTAATAAGGGAGAGTGGTTTGCAGCCGGATCTTGTCACCTATAACAGCTTGATGGATATGTATGCCAGAGTCGGTGAATGTTGGAAAGCTCAAGAAATCCTCAATCGGCTGCAAGAATCTGGTGGAAAGCCAGATCTCGTGTCTTATAACACTGTCATCAAAGGGTTCTGTAGGAAAGGTCTTATGGAGGATGCTATAAAGACTTTCTCAGAAATGACAAGTAGAGGAATTCGGCCTTGCATTGTCACCTACAACACGTTCGTTGCTGGATTCTCAGCACGTGGATTGTTTACAGAAGCAAATGAAGTTATTAGTTTTATGATCCAGCACAACTGTAGACCAAATGAACTCACCTACAATACTATTATAGATGGTTATTGTAAGGCAAGACAGTACAGAGATGCCATGGATTTCTTGTCCAAAATTAGGGAAAAGGACACTTCCTGCAACGAGCAGTCTTTACAAAGACTTGCATCTCGAGTTAGAGACAATATGGAGTCGTGAATTCATGAAACTCCGTATCATTCATTTTGGAAGTGACTAGAGCTTCCAGGAGGTGAAGGAGAGAACACGAGGAATTGTGAGATGATGACCCTAAAGGAGTTTTGCTCAGAACTGATCGTTTGATGCTTGTAAACTGACACTGGCAAGTGACTGTGGCATCGTATTGTCATGTAAGATGATATGAACAGCGTAATTGTGCTCAACAGCTCTAGTTATATAAGTTGTATTATATAAAGCTCGATTTTTCATGCTGACATGTTTTGATTCTACTAGATGGGGAACGGCAAGAGGTTGTTGCTGTATGTAAAGTTACTTTTTCTTTTGTTCCTCAAATTTGTCCATTTGAACTGATTATGAATTATAAAATATAGTATTTGTAGCAGGGATTATATCCTGCCCACGGTGAGCAAGAGCTTATTGTGCCCACGTATTGCCACGTCAGCAAAACTACTTGTCATTGTTGACAATTCAACATTTTTTTTTTAAATTGTCAACTATGGTGGCTTCACTTGTTGACGTGGCATTGTCACATCAACTGTGAGCACATTTTATCTTGTCCTTCGTGAGCAAGGGAACAATTTTGATATTTTTATTTGGCATCTGTTTGTTTGTCTTCGTTTTCAGTGCCAATAGTGGCATTGACACATTATCGTGAAGATATCTTTTTCAACATGTTACCCCGCCAATAGTAAAACCAACTATAAAGAGTATAGACTAGTTATTCACCATGTAATTGTCATCTATATTTGAAAATGATTATGGCTAATTGTCTAAGTTTTTGAGTGTAGTTTTTTCCAAATTAACGTACTCAGCAAATTAACATAAATGATGTTTGATAGGAGATTTCGTACAGAACTCACAAAATTAGTACCCAACATGCCATCAGCCCAAGTGTTTGCCGAGCCATACATGGGAATAATTTTTTGATGTATAGCAACTAGCTGAAGCATGCTGGATAACAGCAACTGTACACATCAGGTATTCCCGAAAATGCAGACACGATCTCCGCAAAGTGGTTGCTGAGGATAAGTGTTACTTCACCGAGGATTAGAAAATTGTGTGCAAGAAATTTGACCTCCGAGAACTATGTCTAGAGGTAGCTCGTGAAGCTCACTTGGCATCCATTCTTCCCCAGTTTGACCTGACTATGGTCCTTGTGCTTCCAACAACGCATGTACTATGTCCACCAAGCAAAACTTGGAGGCGGCCCATGTACATTTAGAATCCTTCATGTTGGTTTCTCATTTAGTAGGATCAAGTGTATAAAGTTGGGATGCAGAGTGAAGACTAGCCACAAATCCACCAATGACAAGGATTCTACCACCAGGGAGGCTCACCACCACATGATCAAGTCGAGCAGGGGGAGCTATGCCACCTGGATTTTCGGCTCCAGGCATCCCACTACTCGTTACACATCTCCAACATTGTTCATCCATGCTCACATCCATGGTGAAAACGTCACTTGATCTAAACTGCAGAGGACCACTTTTGGCAAGACCCCAAACATCAAAATTTTCCCACCACCGTAAACAGATAATGTGTGACCCAAACGTAGTGGTTGAGTCCACCCTACTGTTATCTCTCTCCATAAATGTTTCTCCATTGAAAGATCAAGCAGGAAATCATCGCTCAGAAGTACTCCAGAATCGGCACAACCACCAGAAACAACCCGCTTGGTCCTATGAGAGTACAGGAGCTATGCCAAGATCTAGGAAGTGGAGGAGCTAAGCTGGAGATTTCACGCCAAGCAGGATGTTTGGCATCCAAATTCTGAATGACTACATCAGTGAGTAAACTTTGCCTTTCGCAGCCCCTAAACAAACAAGATGAGACCCATTCACACAAGAAAGCATGTGACACCAGCGCCTAGGAGGTGGAGAGCTCACTTTCACATGCTACAACAATGCAACTCTATATTACTTGAGTTCAGGTCCAGAACAAATGTATCATTCATGGGTTGCAAGTTGATTTCCTCCCCACCAAAAAGAGCCACACGATTCCCAACAGCACATGCACTGAAGTTGCAAGGAGAGGGTTCAACAGCACCTTCAACAGTAAAGTTTCTCCAGGCTGCTGCTTTAAGGGTGGTAAGTTCCGTAGCAAACCTATCTCATCCCAGACATTTAGCACAAGGAGCTGTCTCTAATACTTGAGTTGTCTCAGGAACGTTATGCATTTTGACATACCATTCGCCACAGCTCTTCATTCTTTGTCAACTCATAAAACCACCTAAATACAAAGCCAATTGGATGCAATATCCGTTGTGGCCAGCCGTGAACCTTGAAAGAATCTCCTATTGGAGAATGAATCACAGCAACACATCGAGAAGGGAAAGGACGTTGCAGTCACATGAGCATTGCCAATTTTGTTTTTCTGTTATTTTCATTTGTTGAGTTGTATATAAAGGGGATTACTGAATTTTCATAGATATAATTGGTTAGAATATTCTTCTTTCTGTATATTCATATATGTGCACTGTTTCACTGTGCTGAGTAGAGAAAATAATACAAGAAACCAATTTCTCTGCAATTCTTCTTGCTCTTTGTCATTCTTTTCATTCCTTTTGTTACATGGTATCAGAGCAAGGTTTATCAAATGGAAAATGAAGAAAATGCTCCCATAGCTTCCCATAGCAAATACCTTAATTTTTCAGACCCCTTCAACCCATTCCGAATTGAGAATGGCGATAATCCAGCTGCTGCTTTAGTGGCTGACCTTCTAACTGCTGATAATTATGTCAGCTGGTCACGCACCATTAGCCGAGCACTTCGTGCGAAGAATAAACTTAGGTTCATCAATGACACATTGTCCAAACCCATTACTTCATCAGATCCCCTTTTTGAGGCTTGGGAGAGATGCAATGATTTAGTTGTTTCATTGTTACAGAATTCTGTAAGTTCCTCTGTGAAATCTAGATTGGCTTTAATCTCTCGCACTTTGTGGTTAGAACTTCAAGATCGTTTTACTCAACAAAACGGACCTCGCATTTTTCAACTCAAACGAGATTTAGCTAGTTTATCTCAAAACCAAGATCCCGTTAGCACTTACTTTCGTAATCTTAAAATATTATGGGATGAACTTACTGTGTATGATCCTATTCCTGACTATGAATGTGGCAAACTGAAGATACTACATGACAGATATGACCGTGACTGTGTTATCCAGTTCTTCATGGGTTTATCAGATTCATACACTCATACCAGATACCAGATCGTGCTCCTTGATCCATTACCACCTCTTAACCGTGTTTTCTCTATGGTTCAGCAACAAGAACGCCAACACCAAATGATTCTCTGTCATAATCCCTCTGAATCCCTGGCTATGCTAGCCAAACCCTTCTACAGATCATCCAAATTCTCTGCTAAGTCCAGTAACCAGAAAAACAATCGCCTTTATTGTTCCTATTGTCAAATCCCTGGCCATTCTCTTAACACTTGTTTTAAGATAGGTAATGCTGATACACCAGAATGTACACATTGCCACATGACTGGTCATTGCATTGAGAGATGCTATAAACTGCATGGTTATCCCCCTGGCCATAAACTTCATGGCAAAACCAAAACCATTACAGGAGCTGCCGCCTATTCTCAAGGCCAACCAGACAGTGACCATGATGAAGACTCAACACAATCAATGGCTCTTACCAAGAGTCAATACAAGCAATTACTTACTCTTTTGCATTCCAAGGACACCAGCTCTGCCATGGCTTCACTTACCATAGCTCTCCACCCTCCACCAATCAAGTCAACTCCTCACGCGTTTCTGGTATGATTTCCTGTTTTTCCACTCACACACAGCATTCTTCACAGTCACACACCTCACCTTGGATAATCGACACAGGAGCAACAGATCACATGATCTGTTGCCCCTCCCTTTTCACCTCTATAACAGCCTCTGTTTGTTATCAAGTCAAATTACCTAATGAAAAAGCTGTCCCTGTTACACATGTTGGTGTAGTAAGAATTTCTGATCATTTAATTCTCAATCGTATCCTGTGTATGCCTTCTTTTAAATTCAATCTGTTGTCTGCCAAGAAACTAGCCCAAGAACATTTCTGCTGTCTAATTTTTCTGTCCAACTCTTGTTTTCTCCAGGACTTAGCATCTTGGACGATGATTGGAATGAGTGAAGTCAGAGATGGTCTTTATCACCTCCTCAAGTCACGAGTGTCATCTTCAGCTCTAGTTGATGCTTGGCTAAATTTCCTTCAACCAGATTCATCCACCTATGCATATGCCATTCACACAGATTACAATTCAGACTTATGGCATTATCGGCTTGGCCATACTTCCATTTCCAAATTAGCTTTAATTACTGATCCCATTGTAAGAAACAATTTGAAATTTCACAATCATATCCCTTGTTCAATTTGTCCTTTAGCAAATCAGCATCGTCTACCATTTTCACCATCACAACACTCCTATTTACATGCTTTTGATATCATCCACTGTGATATATGGGGTCCAAACTCCACCATTGCAAATGATGGCTCTCGATATTTTCTTACCATCCTTGATGATTATTCTCGAACAACTTGGGTTTATTTACTTAAAAATAAATCTGACACTAGATCTTGTATTATATCCTTTTGCAACTTAATTGAAACCCAATTCCAATCTAAAGTAAAAATCCTTCGCAGTGACAATGTGCCCGAGTTCTATATGAGAGATTTTTTTTCAACATAAATGAATTATACATCAAAAGAGTTGTGTGGAGACTCCTCAACAAAACGGGAGAGTCGAAAGAAAACATCAACACATAATGAATATCGCTCGTGCTTTGAAATTTCAGTCAAATATTCCACACAAATTATGGACTAATTGTGTTCTCACATCAGTCTATCTTATCAATAGAACCCCCACCCCCCTTTTACAAAATAAAACACCATATGAAACTCTTTTCAATGAGCCACCAACGTACAACCATTTAAAAGTCTTCAGATGCCTTGCCTATGCCTCTACTTTATCCCATGGCAGGAAAAAGTTTGATCCTAGAGGCAAAGCATGTGTATTCTTAGGCTATCCATTCGGTGTCAAAGCATATAAGTTACTTGACTTACAAACTGGACAAGTGTTTTTGTCCCGAGATGTCAAATTTCATGAATCCCTCTTCACTTTCCATCCCAGTCATCCTTCTCCTTCTTCTATTCTATCTCTTTCTCCACCCTCCATTCTGTCAAACCTACTACATTTTATACCAGTTTCAAACTCATCACCTTCACAACCACCTATCCTAATCATTCCAGATGACTCTTACTCCTCCCTCCTTCACCTTTTGTTTTCCATCCTTCGCCATCGCCATCACCATATTCCATTCATGTTCCCCCACCTCTTCCCACCCTGCCCCGCAGGTCAACTAGAACTCGAAGTGTAACGCCCCGAGTTCTGTTAATCCGGATTGCCACGTCATCGTCTTTTGCCCTAAATCACCTAAATAGATTCGCGGAAATAACTAAATTTTAAACATCACATTTATAATTGTAAAACCCTAACGGCAATAAAATTCATTTGATTAACTTAAGAAAAATCGTTTAAACTTCAAATCTCGAGTTTTGGAAATACGGAAATAACAAGTACGTTAATAGCATTCAAATACGAAATTCTTTCTAAATGTAAATAACTGGATTCATTAAATTGTTGCCACATTGCCCATCAATCACGATCGCCTCCGAAGTCTGCAAATATTGTTAAAATAACGGGGTGAGTATTTC